TGGTGATGCTCTAGGGTTATTCCTGACTCTATGCTCAGGAATTAGTTGGTGGTTCTTGGGGGACCATATGGGATGCTGGAGATTGAACTCAGGTTGGCCATGTGCAAGTAAGTGCCCTACCCTCTGTACTTTCACTCTGGCCCCCAACACATAGTGTTAATAAAGATCTACCTGGGGCCAGAGAGACATCTAAACAAGCTGAGCACATGATTTGCATGCAGAAAGCACTCTCAGCACTGCAAGGTCCCCTGAGCATCACCCAGAACAACCCCCAAGTACAAAGCCATGAGTAGACTTGAGTGCTATCAGGTGTGGCACTCAAGTTACCAAAATAAAACAAAAATTGATTCACCTACTTCCAAACAGCAACAAAAACAATATGAAATAAAATCAATTAATATGTACTTAGCAACTACTGAATGTACAAAAAGTAAAATTTGGCTCTATTCTCATACCACAATTTAATTTGATGGGAAAAAATAATATTCAAAATAAAATAATGTATGCTTAGTGTTAATTTCTAGGCTATAGGGATGAAAATGGATTGTAAATTCTATCTAGTCCAAGTCTCCAAGTTCAATTTGTACAGTATTTGAATTAAATCTGTAATAGTTATTAACAAATTTTAGAAATAGCCAAAGACAGCTTCATGAAGAAAATGGTACTTAAGTTGGGGAGAACCAAGTGAAGGCAGGAATATAAAAATTTAAACACTTGTTGCTGGGTGATGGTAGGTTAAAAAAAGTGTAAACACTTGTTGAGTTTCATATGAGAGACATGCTACTTGCTGTACTATCATTACGGCTTCCAACTTACATGACTAAGAGTTTAGACTATTCACAATGCTAACTGAAATAAAAACAAGAAATGAAAAATAAAACGTATAAGAAAGTTTCAAAGTAAAATAATCCAAAGAATAGAAAGCTGAAGTCGATTTACGTATAGTAGTAATATATAATATCTGAAGTGGTAGTAAGGGATTTGCCTAGCAAGAAGTAGCTGCTGCAGTTGGGGATATATATCAAAGGGCTGGAGCAGATGCTTTGCATGCTGGAGCCCCGGTTTGATTCCCAGCACTGCATGGTTTCCTGAGTACTGCCAGGAGTGACCTCTGAGCACTGAAACATGAGCATCCATGAACGGTACCACATGGGCCCCTCCAAAAAAAGAGTAGTTGCTAGAATTAGCAAGATGGAATATATTACAGTGAAAAACATGGGAATAGATCAGCAAAAAGAAAAATTAACTGGAAAGCTAATTTAGAGTCCTCTGTGGGACAACATTAATAGACATAACATTTACAATATCAAAGTCCCAGAAGAAGAGACAGTGAGGTATAAACCCTATAGAAGTATGGTATGCTTTGCATGTGGCGGAATGGGGTTCAATCCCCTACCTTCCTCCAGTACCACATGGTCTCCTGAACTTGGGACAAAGGTGATAAAATTTGGGCATCCAGTTTGGAAGGTATCATGTGAGACAAAGGGTGAAGTACAAATAGCAAATGATATCACTCATTCGTGGGGCATAAAACATATTAAAAAATAAACAGGTCTTATTGCAAGTCCTTTTCAAGCTTTTCCAGGAAATTCAAGAAATAGGAACACTCCCAAGCAGACAGAGACACCACAAAAAAAAAAAAAGAAAAAAATTACAGGCCAACATCCTTAATGAACACAGATGCAAAGATCCTCAACAAAATATTAGCAAGTAGAATCCAATGACTCATCAAAAAGATCATACACCATGACAAGTGGGATTCATCCTGGGGATGCAAGGATAGTGCAACATTCACAAGTCAACATAACCCATCATATCAATAAAATATAAAAGATCTTACCAGTAAAAGCAGAGAAAGCATTTGACAAGTTCCAGCACCTGTTTATCATGAAAACTCTCAGCAAAATGGGAACTGAAGGAACTTTTCTCAATAGAGTCAAAGCCATTTACCACAAGCCCATGATATGTATTTTTCTCAATGGGGAAAAACTAAAAACCTTCCCTCTAAGATCAGGGATAAGACAAGGATGCCCACTCTTTTTTTTTCTTTTTGGGTCACACCCAGCGATACACAGGGGTTACTCCTGGTTCATGCACTAAAACTCAACTATAAATAATTTTGTAAACCACGAGGTCTTAATAAAAAATAATAAATACACTAAAGGGTACACATTCCATATACATAGATGGGGAAATGTCATATAATAAAAAGGTTCATTTTACCAAAAACATAAATAGATTTACTTTTTAATGCAATACAAACCAAAAACCAGTGATATATTTCAGCAGAATAATCAACATGAAAGTTCATAGGAGTCATAAAAGACCCTGGATAACTAAAACAATATTAATGGGAAAAAGGAACTAGAGAGACTCATGTTCCTGACTTCAAACTGTAGTAAAAGCAACAGTAATAAGAACTGTAAGGTATGTCACAGACACAAAATGAAACAGAATTGAAAACCCAGAAATAAACCCACACATACACAGACACTTAATCGATGACAAAAGAGCCATGATCCTATAAAAAAAGAAAACCTGTTCAAGAAGTGGTACTGAGAAAATTGGACAACCACATGCAAAAGAGTAAAACTAAATTACTGGAGTAGGTAGTGTGCTTGCCTTGCATGTGGCTAATCTGGGTTTGATACCAGCACCCTATATGGTCCACTGAGCATCACTGCATGTGACTCCCAAAATGAGAGCAAGCAAAGTACCCCCCCAACTCTAGATTACTCTCTAATTCCATATACAAAAAGATTCAAAATAGACCTGCATGTAAGAACCTAAACCATAAAACATATGAAAGACAACATGGATGAAATGTTCCATTTTATCCATTGTATTCATTTATTTATTTATTTTTGGGTTTTGGGCCACACCTGGTGGTGCTCAGGGATCACTCTTATTCGACTACATGGGGTGCCAGGAATTAAACCAGGCTCAATTTATAAAAGGTAAGTGCCCTACCCACCATACTATCTCATCAGCCCCAACCTGGTATATTTTAAGAAGAAACCTAAAGCTTAGTTTTGCTTTACAAAAAAATTTTTAAAATGGAAGGAAAGAAGCAAAGGAGAGGGGAGTGGGGGAGGAGAGTAGAGGTTGAGAGGGGAGGAAAGGAGAGGTGAAAAGAGCAGGGGAGGGGAAGAAAGGGGAGGAAAGATGGGCCTCGGGTGGAAAATGAGTTAGAGTAAGTGCTGGTAAGACTTGTTAAGTAACTCCTACATACAAATTACAGTGCATGCCATAATGAATAGTATTCATTGGGCTGGAGCGATAGCACAGTGGGTAGGGCGTTTGCCTTACAAGCGGCCAACATGGCCGACCCGAGTTCGATTCCTCCGCCCCTCTCGGAGAGCCCGGCAAGCTACCGAGAGTATTCGATATGCCAGACACAGTAACAACAAAGTCTCCAATGGAGACGTTACTGGGCCCGCTCGAGCAAATTCATTGAATAAGATATAAAATATTCTTTAGTGAGGAAAAAGATAATGTTTTTGCCTTGCATTCAGCCAATAGCAGTTGAACCCCCAGCACCTGTCTTGTATGTAGCCTATTCCAGATAGTACTCTGAGTACCATAAGGAGTGGATTATCCCAAGCACAGAGCTGGCGTGGCCCCAAAACCAAAAATAAAAATAAAAAATGAGAGCGAGAGAACATTATAGGTCAGGAAGATAAGCACTTCCTTTTTAAGAATGAGCCCTAGATTTGATACCTGGCACTGCATGGTCCCCCAAGCACTGCGAGGAGCAACCCGCAATCACAGAGCTGGGAGTAGCCCCCAAGAACCACAGGAGTGGGCCAAAGAGAGAATTCTACAGTTCTAAGTCTGAGTCAAAAAAGAAAAAAACTAGGTAACACCATGAGACAAATTAAGGACAGGTTGATTTAGGGAGAAAGAAAAGAAATATGGAATTCTTGTGAATTTGTTGGATCTGAGGTGACAGTTAAATTTTTCTATTTAATATTTTACAAATAAAACCCACTATCTTTTCTTATGCTTCACTTTTTCTCACTCCCCCCTCACATTCATTTGTTATATTTTCAGTATCTGCTCATCAATTTTGTATCTTCATATCATGTACATGAATGAAATCATTGTATAACTTCTCAGTCTCTGTGTGGTGAGATCTCTTGGAGCCTACAAACTAAATGGCAGAAGGCAGATGGTAATGTGAATACTGGTAATCACAAGACTGGGTTTTAATAGTTTAATACCAGCCAGATAATTTGGAGCAAATCATACTCTTAAGTATTATATGTAAAATCAAAGGACTGGACGCTAGAAAAATATATATATTTCCTTTCAGATCTACCATTCTTTACAAGTTCTCAGTGATATCTGCATGTCAGCCCTTTCTTAAGAAATACTGTATTAGGTACTGTTGAAAAGAGAGCCTGAGATTAACACTTGGGACAAGAAACATCCATTTTAAAGTTGCCAACACACAATTGACAGTTTTTAAGTCCTAAAAATTAAAGAGCTCTTTGAAAATGCACTGAGAAGAGCAGAAGAACAAGAAGTGACCCCTGAAGGATGTTCACAGCTGGAAATGGGAGGTGAGCAACACATCAGTGAAAAAAGAGAATAATCAGGCAGAAAAACTGGAAACAAGTAGGTAAGTGACATCAGTGCCAAAAACAAACCAAACCACAGAAACAAGATAAATTTAATGAAACATAAGCTCAAGCCAAGAACAGGAGGTGATGGAAACATAGGTAAACTTGTATGTTCTTACAAATATATATATGTATATAAAGCGTATAAACTTTATAGATACTATAAAATATTATTACTCTATAGATACTATAAAAATGAAATCCCTGTAGAGCTCATTCACTGCTGAACTCACTGGTTCTAGGATCATTTTGATTCACAGCTGCATTTTGTAAAACTGCCCTTTCCTCTAAGTTTGCAAAGATCTAACCTTCCTGAATTGTCAAGAGGATAAAAAACAGCAAAAGAGATAAAAATAAAACAAACCAACTACTCACAATACTCCTTCACCTCTTTGTTCTCCAATCACTACTTGTACCACCATTTTATATCGATCGAATCCCATTTCTAGAAAGAAAAAAACAAAACATCTATAAGCAAGTGTCAAATTAATGCAGGCAAATCTGCCCAATTCACATAAGCATCCAGTCTACAAACATATTATCAAGTAAACGTCTGAAATCATAAACTTGTGAGTCAGAGATGAAGATAAATTCTAATTATAAACTTACTGTGAAATCTTATTCAGTTTAAATCTTTCTTATCTGTTGAATGGAGGATCTCATTAGATACCTGCTGAGGATGTTATATATATGAGCTAAAATAACTTGGATGAGGATTAGAGCTATAGTGCAGCAGACAGAACGTTTGCCTTGCACACGGCTAACCTGGGTTCAATCCTCAACATCCTATATGGTCCACCAGTAAGTACCACCAGGAGTAACTCCTGAGTGGAAAGAGCCAAGAGTAGCCCCTGAGCATTGCTGGTCATGTCCCATACCTGCCAAATAACTTAGATGGAATAGTAACACATTAATCAAATGGAACAGTACTAATGTAAATATTAGTTTCTCAGTAGGGCTTACATTCCTTTTTTTCTTTTTACCCTGTCAGATAAGCCCTGAACATTTGGATGTAATGACACTTTCTTAAACTAATAAAATTATAGGAGGGCCAGGCAATAGTTCAAACAACTGGAGCTCACACATTGCATATAGTAAATGTGAATTTAATACTCAGTATCACAACGTCTCTCCAGCACCTCGGGGATTGGCACCCAAGCACTACACTATGAGTAGCCCCTTAGCCAGGAATTACCCTAAAGAAAATTATAGACTTCATAGGAGGTAAGAAGACAAATATGAAAAAGCAAATAAAACTGTGACATACCAAGTACTCAAAGAAAGGCATACATAAAGTACATTAGAAGCACACAGCTGATAGGATGAACAAAACAGATTTAAAGATGTGATCAATGACTTTTGAAAGATGAGTTCAGGAGAATTTGTTCATGATTTGTTGTTGAACACAATTCACCACAAAAGTTGTTCATATTCGCCCTCTCTTCTCTGGAAAGAAAGATGGCGGCCGCATGGGAGCCTTGTGGACAGCAGGTATGAGCCGGGGTTGTGGGGGCGATTAAAACCTCATGGGAAGGGGGGCGTTCCGGTCCGTCCTTCACGCCCTACCGAGGTCACCAGTTGCCCCCCGCAAGCGGCTCTCCAGCACGGCCACGGCCCCAGAAGCACAAGGACTTAATGCAGAACCCGGCAGCTTGGAGCAGAAAAGTGAACGGACTATGCGTTAATCCAGGCCATCATGTCTGTCCGGAGGGGGAAGGGTGTTGGTCCCTTCCGCCCTCCTCCCTCTGGAAAGAAAGATGGCGCCCACACGGGAGCCTTGTGGACAGCAGGTATGAGCCGGGGTGTGGGGGTGACTAAAACCTCATGGGACGGGGGGCGTTCCAGTCCATCCTTCATGCCCTACCGAGGTCACCAGTTGCCCCCCGCGAGCGGCTCTCCAGCACAGCCACGGCCCCAGAAGCACAAGGACTTAATGCAGAACCCGGCAGCTTGGAGCAGAAAAGTGAACGGACTATGCGTTAATCCAGGCCATCATGTCTGTCCGGAGGGGGAAGGGTGTTGCCCCATTCGCCCTCTCCTCTCTGGAAAGAAAGATGGCGGCCGCATGGGAGCTTTGTGGACAGCAAGTATGAGCCGGGGGTGTGGGGGCGACTAGAACATCATGGGAAGGGGGGCGTTTTGGTCCGCCCTTCACGCCCTACCGAGGCCAACAGTTGCCCCCCACGAGCGGCTCTTCAGCACGGCCACAACTCCAGAACACAGAAACCAATTTCTTAACTATCTGACTTTCAGTAGAAATACTTCCAGGGTCAATAGGTAAAATAGCAGAAATCCAAAACCAACATTTAATTCTTGAACCCAGCTGTAGAAAGAAATCACTTCACAATGCTTTTTCAGAATGTCTGATTTGGGGGGGGGGGGTAAACTCTAAAGAATAGTGGTGAATCTTTTATTGAAACAATGAATCTGATCAAAGCAGATAGAGTGTTGACTAGAATTCATCTGCCTCACAGGGACTGGGAGGGGTGGGGGGTGGGGTTTTATTGGGGTTCTTCATGGTAAAGAATAAGTGTTGGTAAAGGGAAATGTGTTTGATATTTGCATGACTGAGACCTAAACCTGAAAGCATTGTAACCTTTCCCACAGTGATTCAATAAATAAATAAATTTAAAAAATTTAAAAAAAAAAGTTGTTCATAATGATTTGTTACAGGTATTCAATACTCCAATACCAGTCCCACCGACACCAACCTTCCCTCCACCATTGTCTTCATTTTCCCAGCCACTCTTCAAGCCTGCCCCCATAGCAGGCCACAATATTTTATTTTATATTGCTTGTAAATGGCTAACAGAATTATTAAAAAATGTTTCCATAGAAGAAAATTTGTGAAAATTGTTGTATCTCACCAAGGGGGCATAAAATCCTTGTCTGGGAGTTTACTAAGCTGTTTCAAGTTAAGCCTCTATATTAATGGTTTTTTTAGTCAAGATTGGTTGGCTTCTATGTTATATCCCATTTAATCTGTTAATGTCAATCCAGAAAATCCAGAATATTTAACAGGGCAGTCCAGTTGGAGGCATAGCGGCAGCTCTGGCATGTGGGAACACTTGCCAGGCTTTGCTTGATGGGGAGCTGGCCTATCCCCTTCTGAGATAGCCCATGAGATCTCAGCTGGCAATGGGTGGCCAAGAAATGTTTGTGGCTGGTCCATCTCTTTCGAGATTTATAATTCTCTGGAACAAGACCTGTAGGTGAGCTTACATGGTGGTGGCACACAGTCAACACAGGTTTGATTCCTGGCACTCCATAAAGTCCTCCTAGTCCACTAGGAGTGATCCCTAGGAGCAGAGGTAGGAATAAGCCCTGAGCACAGCAAAACTGGGTGTGGGTGAAAAACAAAAACAAAACAAACAAAACAAAAGAGCACATCAATGACAATGGCATGGTTAAAGATGTAGCTGTAAGCAACCCTTCCATTCAAGTGTAGAAGGTTCTGGATCCTGGTCTGGTTGAGTAGCCTGCTTCCCTTTTAAGTGCCCTGTATGGAGTTCTGATGTTTTGATGACCCACACCTCACCCACCAGAGCCACAACAAAATCTTTAACTTTCAGAAAGCTCCAACATAGCCTAGCATGTACAACCCCAGTCATCACAGAAACTACCACCACCGAAAATGAAGGGAAATTATTATTAAAAATACAAAAACAGAAACATTGTTTCCCGATCTTTTATTTTTTGCTAATTTTTGTCCATATCCAGCAGTGCTCAGGAGACCCTATGCAGTGTTCCCCAACAAATCACATGTAAGACAAACCTCAACAGTCACAGGTAAGACAAGCACCCTACCAGCTATACTATTTCTCTGACCCCCCACCCACAATCCTCCAGTTTTTAAAAAAAAAAAAATGTAGAAGGAGCCTAGGTTGTAACTGAGTGGTAGAGATGTTTTGCATCCATGAGGTCCTGGGTTCAATCATTAGAACTACATAAAAAAGCTAAAATTAAATTTAAAAAAATTAAGTCTAAAAACAAATAATAAACTAGCAATACCTAAACTTGAGGAATATAAATACCTAAAGTCGCTATGTTCTTTTGTACTTTGAAATTTTTTAATTTCTAAAAAGGCCAATTAAAAATTGCTTATTTAGAAAGTTGTTCACAGTAATTTATTACATGCAATACTCCAACACCAGTCCCACCACCATTACGCCTTCCTACCAACATTATTTTGAATTTTCCAACCACCACCCAAGTCTGCCCCAACAGCAGCACTAAATCATTTATTCTGTATTGCTTGTTTTAAATAATTCACTAAAATGATCAAAAGACGTTTTCTTAGAAGAAAATGTGTGATGATTGTTGTATCTCACCCTGGAGTCATTAAACTCTTTTATAGGAAATTACTAACATGCTGTTATAGGTTGAGCTTGGTGTGCTAATATTTTTTAAGTGACACTGTTTGCCTTCTACTTAACATCTCATCCAGAGTACTGTACTACTCCTGGTACATCAGTGGTATAGAGTACGAGATGTCGTGCTCAAGGAATTCTAAAATTTTAAATAGGGTGATAAACCTGGAGTTAAAGTTTTAAGTGGATGGTGACTTTGGGGTCCAGGGACATCTCTGCAGCTTGATTCCTTCCAAGATTTATTTGTGAGTCTCTGGATCATGGCCAGTTAATGAGCTTCTATAGAGCCAGAGGCAGTTTGCAGGAGTGACTGCCAGGCTCCTGGAAGAACAGGGAGATGTGGGGGGAGGTCGACCATCCCTGACTTTGTGGAAGCCTGGAGATTTCAGTCACAAAAACTCACACACCTGAGTTTTTCAACAGATTCATTCAGGATGAGGCTCATCCTGAGCCTGTGGAGATCAGCCATGAGCATGGCAAAAAAAAAAAAGGCCAATTTTTAAAAAGGAGAAAATACAAAACTTATAAGTAGCAACTTTTAAATAACAGAATTTTACCTTTATTTTATTTTGTTTTGGTTTTTGGTCCACACATAGTGGTGCTCAGGTTTTACTCCTGGAACTGCCATTCAGGGGGATAGATGGGGTGCTAGAGATCGAACTTGGTTTGGCAATGTGCAAGCAAACACCCTACGTGCTGTACTATTGCTCCAGAGCAAATCAGTTCTTAAAGACATCTCTTCCCTCCAAGAAAATATGTTATAATTTTTAAAAAAGAGGCTGGAGAACATGTGCTAGGTGAAAAGGAAGCTCAGATAGAGAAGAGAGCACCAAATAAAGGGTGTTGTGAAGACCCTCCCAGGGTGGGAGAGACATGCTAAAAGTAGTCTATAGACCAAATATGACTGCCACTCAATGCCTCTCTTGCAAAACACAGTACCCAAAAGAAGAGAGAGAAAACAAGGGGGAATGCCCTGCCACAGCGGCAGGGTGGGAGAGGGGGATGGGGGGTGGGAGGGATGCTGGGACCCGTGGTGGGGGAGGATGGGCACTGGTGGAGGGATGGGTACTTGATGATTGTATAACTGAAACCCAAGCACAAAAATTTATAAGTCTATAAAAAAAATAAATAAAGGAAAAAAAAGAGGCTGGAGAGATAGTAGAGGAAGTAACGTAACTTGCCTTGCATACAGATGCTGTGTCCACAACCTTGGTTCGAATCCCAGGGCACTACAAAGCCCCTCAGCACTATTACTCCTGAGCACCACTGGCCATGGCCCAAACCAAAATTATTATTACTGAGATAGTATTAAAAAATTTTACAAGATAGTGGGGCCAGAGTAGGGCACAGGTAGTATGTACCTAACTCAGATTCAATTCCTGGTACCATATGGCTCCCTAAGGCAACCCAGGGCAGCTTTGGAGGTCCCTGGTACAACCTGGTTGGTCTGGTATCCCTGGCATCACAGGGTATGAGCAGCATTGAAGCCCTAGGCCCTTGGATTAAACCACCAGTCAGATTGTAGAAGAATTACTGTAGATCCTGAGCACTAGTTGGTAGGCCCTCCCTGCTTAAAATAAAGTAAATTTTAAAAGGGCAGATAAGAGATCAGGGATGTGGCTCAAGTAGAACAGCTTTAATCTTGCATGTAGGTGGCCCTGGGCTCAACCCTTGACAGCACAGCATACCACTACACCACCAAGTTAGCCCCCACAACAGACAAAAAACAATGTAAAAGAATGAAGAAAATAATGCACAAAGGTGATTTTTTCACTATTATAAGACAGAAAACGGGGAAAAAAAGCAAAACTCAGTTCTTACAGATGTAGGGTTTGGCAAGAGAGGAAGGGTAAACATGGGTAAACAATTAATAATTCAATGGGAGAGATGAACTAAGGTCAGACTGTGAGGAGACTCAGGGCCTCCTGCATACTTACAATTTTTGAATAGTGGTTCCTCACTGTCACTGTCCTCCCGTTGTTCATCGATTTGCTCGAGCGGGCCCAGTAACGTCTCCATTGTGACAACTGTTACTGTGCTTGGCATATCGAATACATCACGAGTAGCTTGCCAGGCTTTGCCATGTGGGCGAGATACTATCGGTAGCTTGCCGGGCTCTCCGAGAGGGGTGGAGGAATTGAACTCGAGTCGGCCATATTGGCCGCTTGCAAGGCAAACGCCCTACCGCTGTGCTATCGCTCCAGCCCAGTGATTCCTCATAATGTTGTATTTCACATCTCTTTTACACTGTCTGAAAAATCTTCAGTGTTAAAGGTACCAAGTAGTCTGGTGATGTGGCACAGTGGTAGCATGTATGCTTTTCATTTATGAAGTCCTGAGTTCATCCCCAGCATATAACAAACACAATTATTTACCAAATAATTAGAGAAGACTAAATATTCAAGAGAAATGTCTTCAATAGAACCTCCAGCTTATGTCACTTGCTTAAAGATGGAAAAGGAGACAAATGGATAAATTTGACAGTTTCAAGGGAATAGGAAACCAGAGGAATAATTGGGAGAAAAATGGATAGTACAGCAGGTTGCAGCCAACCCATGTCTGAATTCTGGCATCCTATATGATCCCCCTTCCCCCAGCCAAGCACTGATAGGCGTGGTCCCTGAGTTAGAACCAGGAAAAAGCCCTGAGCACGACCAAAACGAAACAAAAGAAAATCTGTAATTTCCAATTATTATCACAATTACCTTTTAATTTATCTTTAATACTTTCTGATAAATGTTTTGTGAGCTGAGGCATTTCTTCTGGAGAGTATTCAACATTTGTCAATTCCTCCTTGAGCACAGCATGGATGCAGTCTTTAACCACAGAGGGCCTGAACCTAAATAAAAAAGATTGGAACATCCCATTGTTAACCCCCAAATCCCAACTTACCTTCCTCTCCCATTATTAGTTCTTATTCCTTGTTCATACTTTTATTATACAAGTAATATAAAATTAAGAAAACAGGTCCTATTCTAATTTTACATCTCTAGCCTGAACCTCTCCCCAAACTCTAGAGCAAGTATTCATCTGGAGGTTAAGCAGGCAACTCAATTTTAAAACATCCAACACTGATCTTCTGATCATTATTCCCTGCAGTCTCCCCACCTAATCAATAACTCCAACTTACAGTTGCTCAAGCCAAAAACCCCATGTCACTCCTCAAAATCCACATTCCATTTATGAACAAATCATGTTATTTCAAGATAATTTAAAATTCATTCTCATCCTACTGCCACCACATCCTGCCATGCTATCATCACTTTTTATCTCCATTACAAAACCTCCTAAAAGTCTGTGTTGGCCTCTGCCTCTACATCCTGTCCTCCACACAGCAACAAGACTGATCCTGTTAAAAGTATGTGAGGGAGGAGCTGGAGCGATAGTACAGCCGGGTAGGGCGTTTGCCTTGCACGCAGCCAACACGGCCGACCCTGGTTCGATTCCCAGCATCCCATATGGTCCCCCGAGCACCGCCAGGAGTAATTCCTGAGTGCATGAGCCAGGAGTAACCCCTGAGAATCGCCGGGTGTGTGTGACCCAAAAAGAAAAAAAAAAGTATGTGAGGGAAATAATTAAAAAAAAAAAGGAAAAGGGAAAAAAGTATGTGTTGGGCCAAAAAGTGAGTGGAGGTGTGAAGGAACACCTGACTGGTGTAGTCCAATCCCCAGCACCCCAGGCCAAGAACAGTGCTGCCTCTTCACAGTGCTGCATCTTCAGTCTTGCATTAAACCACTGGCCTAGTTGGCCAAAAATCACTAGGAAGAGCCCCTGGAACTCCAGAGCACCATATAAGAGGTCAGTTACTTCAAAAAGTCAGATCACAGCATTCATCTATTCAAAATACACACTGTATTTCCTATCTTATCTGTCAGAGTAAATTTAACAGGCTCAAATTCTGGGTATCAGGCATCAGGGGTCTTACACACTGTAAGGGGCCATGTGGTGTCAGGGACCAAATTCTAGGCCTCAAACCTACTAGGTATGTGCTCTACCACTTGAGCTGTATCTAATAATCAGAGTTTAAATATTTTCACAACTGAGTAGTATTCCATTGTGTGTACATATACACATAAAGTCTCACAGATGAACTTCAAACAAATATCTATGATTTCATCTATTCAAAACGTGTTCTTTCTATTAAGTAGCCAAAAGTATATCCTGGTTCTTCCCTTTTTTTCACTCTCAATAAAATGTTTCAAGTTTTCTTCAAACAAGTCACACAAAATCTCCCAAGATTTTTCCTGTATCAGTTCATATGAGTATGAGATACAGCTCAAGTGGTAGAGCACATACCCACCATGTTTGAAGCCTAGATTTTGGTCCTGACACCACCACTTCCTACCCATTTTTTATAATTACCACACCATGTTTGATGGAGTTCAGACAGTAGGCAACAAATCAGAGAGAAATATATATATGTGTGTGTGTGTGTATATATATATATATATATATATATATATATATATGCCTCTGGGAGAGCCCAGCAAGATACTACCGGGAGTATCCCACTTGCTCAGGCAGAGCCTGGCAAGCTCCCCATGGCGAATTTGATATGCCAAAACCAGTAACTATAACAGGTGTCATTCCCCTGACCCTGAAAGAGCCTCCAATCGTTTGGAAAGACGAGAGTACGGAGAGGCTGCTAAAATCTCAGGGCTGGGACGAATAGAGATGTTACTGGTGCCCGCTCGAGTAAATTGTTGAACATGGGATGACAGTGATACAGTGATAAATTCATATATCAGTCATATATATTTTACAAATATATATTTTACATTTATAAATATAGAAAATATATGCTTTACAAATCTATATTTCATAATATATGTTACACAGGAAACGGCTATGAATTCAGCTTCAGGAAGATAAGTGAACATATAGCGTGCCATCTTGCCCACAGGAAAACTACCTGAATTTTCTTCTTAAATCTTAGCACAGCTTAGAATGTTTGCCCACCTGACTCTGCAATCTGCTTTAAAACAACAGAGAAGGGGCTTTGGAAAACTTACTTGTTTAAAACAATTACATATATACATATGTGCATATATAGTTCACATACAGTTAGCGATAGTCCTCAGCACTAGCTAGTGTGTCCTAACTCTGGGAAGATACTGGAGTGGAGGACCAAGAGCATCTGGACACTCCTTGGGTAGGGCTTTGCATACATCAAGTCCCAAGAGCGCAGTAGGCCCTTTCTGGCACACGCACGTGAACAGAAGTTTTCGAAACTCGGCTAAATTGCACTTGACCCCTGTCTCCGGCTTCCGGCCTCTCTACTCCATCCAGGTCCTGCCCGCGGTAGGTGCAGCCCAATCCGCGGAAGAAGGCCGGACCCCGCAGCCCCGCCGGAAGTCGCGGGCGCCCCTCCCCCGTGGGGGCGGGCCGGTCCCCGCAGTCCCGCCGGAAGTCGCGGGCGCCCCTCCCCCGTGGGGGCGGGCCGGTCCCCGCAGCCCCGCAGGAAGCCGCGGGCGCCCCTCCCCCGCCGCGCCGCTCGCCCGGCCCCCCGGCCGGAAGTCCAGCCCGTTGGCTGTCCGCCGGGTCCCGCCTGCTACCCGCCTTTGCTGGAAAATGGGCCTCAGAATGTAGGTGTTCTCGGACTCCCCCAGATTCTCCGTCTCTGCCAACCCATCGACCGTGCTGCTGGACTGCGCTACCGAGAAGGAGACGGCCCGGTACGAAGCCATGTTCGAGCCGTCGCCCGGGAGACGCCGCGCGCGCCTGCGCAGCCGCCGCTGGGCGGGGCCACAGGCTGCTGCGCCCGAGGCTCCGGAGGCGGGGCCCAGCCTGTGATTCTGGCTGGGGCCGCGACGCGCTTCTGCTTTCCTTAGTCGCTCTCCAGCCTAGGAAAGTGACTCGACCCAAGGGACTCCTGTAGGTGTAGGACAAAGGCAGGGCTTACTATTCTCTAGTCTAGCCAAATGGTCCCCATGCAAACAGGCTGTACGCCAAATATCGCTAGTCTATGTTGCTTTGCATAATTTGTGGGTGAAAGTTATATATCTAAATGATGGAAAAATAACCAAGAACACTCCATTCATAACGTGAAAATTACTGGAAAATACATTTTCAGCGTTCTTAAGTACATTTTTGTTAGTGCACTTAGATGCCCACGAATTGGCAATGACTGCATTTGTGCCATGAGGCAGAATGGAGCAGTTGCAATGCAGATACAACTGACCAAGATGTAACAATGGCCCAGACAGACACTGAAGAGGTTAATACCTGGTTTTGATCTCCTAGGTCACTTGTACATCACCTGATCCCCCAGATCATGAGGGTGCTAACCTGACTTGATCCCCTAGATTACCCTGGAGGTCAGAACCCAGGCCTAGGGCCCTGGGGCACTACCTGGCTGGCTGCTGAACAGAGAGCCAGGAATCATCCCTAAGGCCAGTTGTTAGGGGGCCCCACGTGGACAGGGGAAAGAAAGAAATCTAAGATTCTTAAGTCGATGGGCCCCCTCAGGTGGCTAATGTGAGGTGGAAAGAGAGAGATGGCCACTTTCTCCTGATCTGCCTTTGCCACCCTGGGACCAACTGGGAGGCTAGGACTGATAGTCTATGGATGAGCCCCTTCTAGGCAAAGGCCAGAGCCCACCATGTGACCCTCAAGCCACACCTGACGTCCGCTTGGTCTTCTCACACGTAATCTGCACCATCTGAGATTTCTCAAGGAGCTACAGAGGCTGGAGTGAGGCATTGCTCTGAAACCTGGCAACAGAGGCATTACTGTATTCTACAACTCTAAGGGTGCTTTACCTGCCCTTTATGAGCCTGGGCAGTCCTGGGTTGGGGCTGGGGTCCAACAGACCACGGAAGGGAAATAGCAGCACTGTTTGCCAGCTTTGTGTCCTATGACCCTAAAGCCTCAGGTTCTAAACACAATTATGCACCTTTCTCTACCTCTCCTCCTGTCTGCCCCTGCTTTCCTGACTTTTCTCAAGGTGCTCTGCTTGACTCATCCTTTTCCCTGACCCTAAGATACTTTCTTAGCTTCTCCCCACTACTGAATCACCTTTCAGCAACACTCCTTGACTACAGATCCTGAAAGGAGAGACAGGGAAGTCCCCAGCCATCCATGTTTCACACCAGAGGCTGCTGAGCCAGAATAGTTCTCCATCCACACTCCATACCATTAAAAAAATTATTTATTGAATCACTATTAGATACACAGTTACAGAGTTTTCATGTTCAGGTTTCAGTTATACAATGTTCCAACACATCTTTCCAGCATTGTACATTTCCCACCACCAATGTACCCAGTATCCCTCCCACCACCCCTCTTCCATCACCTTAACCTCCCCCACCCCCACCTGTCTCTATGGTAGGCAATTTTCTTTCTCTACTCTGGGGCACTATGGTTTGTAATACAGATACTGAGAGGCCATCATATTTGGTCTTTCAGTACACATCACCCATCCAGAGCAGTCCCTCCCACCAAAACTGTCATAATGGTTGCTTCTCTATCCCAACTGTCCTCTTCCCCCCAGCACGAGGCAGGCTTCGAGCCATGGACCAACTCTTCTGACCTTATCTCTACTGTCCTTGGTTGTTAGTTTCATACTGTTATTTCATATCCCACAAATACCCGCTCCATACCTTTGAAGGTGCTACTATCACTGCTGGAGAAAGCCTTCTTCCCCTTTTCTTGGGCTGATAACCAAGCACCAGCTCAAACCCTAGTGAGGTCTCCTTCCTTTTTCACAGAGCCCTCCTGGAGGCTCTCTTTTCCTGCACTCATTCGGCCCCTATATTGGCTTCTAACCTGGACCTGAACAGATGAATCTGTTTCCAGAACCTGACTGTTAGTTCCTGAGGATAAGATAGGGGCCAAGGACAGGGCCTGGGTACCATTACCATTGTTGTGAAGTTGGGATATATATATATATATCCCAAGGGCCACGTAGGGCCTTGCTTGGTGTGCTCTTTGCATGTTGGACACAGATGAAAAGAACATACTGGTGGGTTAGTCATTCCAGGCGGTCGTAACAAAATACCATGGGCTATATGACCATACAACACAATTTTATTTTCTGGAGGGCAGAAATCCTAGAAATTTAACAAAGTTGGTTTCCCCAAGCCTCCCTGTTTGCTGGCAAATGTTCACCTTCTTGCTGTGTGCTCACATGGCCCTTTCTGCCATGTGTGTGGGTGGAGAGCTGCTATATCATTCTCTTGTAATAAGACTTGCTTCTGATGGCTTTCTTCACCCCATGACCCCATTTATCTCTAGTTAGCTTCATAAAGATCCTATTTCCAAAGAAAATCAAACTAGAGTTTTAAGGCATCAACTTGTGAATTTGGGAAGCCCACAATACAGTAAGGTGGACTTGAATTTAAAGATGGAAATGCAGGAACAAACTTGACCTTGACCTAGTTGAGAGCTTGTAGGCAGCAAGCCTACAATTATACTCTGGGAGCCCCAATTATTTTATAACACATGATATATTTGCTGGGTGGTTGGAGAAATTAAAATGAGAACAGGAATGGAGGACTTTGTATGGACAATACCTTCCTTCCCAGAGATAATGGCCATATTATTCCTTTGAACACTATATCACACTGCAGTTCACAATGTAATTTGAAATGCATTCTGTCATTCAGCATACATGCAAGCTATTACACATTGCTCCTATTACACTACAAATATCCGAAAGAGATGTTTGTTTACAATTCATACCCACTGCTTGTTCGGAAATATTCAAGGAAGGTCATGGTGAACATCCTGTGCTTAGAAGTGGGCTCCTTATGACTTCTCACAGAGACTGCAGAAAAGACTCAGGAAGCTGTTCATGAAATGAATGATCACCAGGATCATCTGAATGAAGCTGATGCACAGGAGGGAGGAGAAGAAGGACACGTGCCAAACCACGGCTTTAGAAGGCTCCAGGCAGACAGAGGTCCAGAGGGAATGGTCGTATAAATAATTCCTACCCCCCAAAAAAAATAAAGTGTACCAAAAATTGAAGAATAATTAAGATACATCAAATAAAAGCAACATCAGTAGAAAGCTGGGACCTCCCCCTAACTATAGGACCGGCCTTTTAAAGACTTTTCTTTGTTTCTTTTTTTAAGAGCCCCCAAGTTCTTTCCTATCGCCACCCTCCTCCCCTGGCCCATCTCTATAGTAGGCATTTTCCCTCCCTCCCTCCCTCCCTCCCTCCCTCCCTCCCTCCCTCCCTCCCTCCCTCTCTTTCTCATCCCCAGCCCCCCACCATTTTTGGCCATTGCAGTTTGAAATACAAATACTAACAGTTTATCAAGAATATCCCATTACCTACTTTTAACACTCAGTTCTTGTCCAGCGTGATCATTCCCAGCTATTATTGTCATTATCATCCCAGTTCCTTCTCTATCTTATCTACCCTCTGCTCCACACACACGTGATTGATTCCGACCACTGATCAGTCCTCCTAGACCCTGCTTTCCATTATATATATATATATATATATATATATATATATATATACCTCATGCGTGAAGGAACTGGCAGAGGAACCCAGGTGTGCAGGACCTGGGGCTGAGATGTTCAAGCTTGCTGGGATCAGGACTGGGCCTCCTCCACCCAGATTCCCCACCTTCCCTCATAGCTAGGCAGTTACACCCACCATCCCCCCCCCCCCCCCCCACTGTGCTGTGCTGTGTAATCCCATCAACGGTCAAGATCCAGAGACTATAAAATCAAACTCCTGGAAGTGTGCAGCCACATTTGCAGCCGTGCGACCTCTTATTGTCTAGTTCTCACTCTTGGAGAACCCAGCAGGCTACCAAGACTATCCTGCCCGCACGGCAGAGTCTGGCCAGCTCCCCGTGGTGTATTTGATATGCCAAAACCCAGTAACAATGATGGGTCTCATTCCCCTGACCCTGAAAAAGTCTCCAATGTGGCACTTGCTAAAATCTCAAGGCTAGGATGAATGGAGACATTACTGGTGCCTGCTCGAGGAAATCGATAAACAATGGGATGACAGTGATGCAGTGATATATCACTTATATCACTTGTTATTCCATTGTTCATCGATTTGCTCGAGCAGGAGCCAGTAACATCTTCATTCTACCCTATCACGTGTTAGCATAGCCCAATGGCATATTGGGGGCTCTTTCAGGGTCAGGAGAAGGAGACCTGTTATTGTTACTGTTTTTGGCATATCGAATATGTCACGGGTAGCTTGCCAGGCTCATATATATATATAAATAATATCACTGTAGCACTGTCCTCTCATTGTTCATATATATATATATGTTCATATATATATTAATTCATGCAGTCTGCATTTCCAATTTTCTAAGTGCCATGGGCACAAAACACTAAAGTGTGTGACCCAGAGGGTACTGGTCTAACATTTACCTGTTATGCAAGTCTTTAAATGGGTAACCATATTTCCAAGCGTGTGTCTGATTGAAGAAGGAGGCATCAAACATGCAGAAAGGACCTTCCTTCAGGGCTACTCCACAAATGATAAAGCAAATCAAGGCCCCAAGCAAGGCCAGAACACTTGCCAACAGAGCAGTAAGTATCTGCAGGGGGAGAGAAGAAATGAGTGATGTGGTGACTTGTGGGCAGCCTGGATATGTAACTTCCCCAGTGCTTAGGTTTTTTAGGTTGCCCCCATCATGTCTGGTGGGATGATACTACTCAAAGAATCTTCTGTAAAGCTAAAGGAGGCTGGTAAGGGTTCACTGGGTATAAAGGGGTGGGAGGGAAAGGAGGGAAGGTGAGCTCTGGCACTTGAACTTGGAGATCCTTGACCTAGCTGTTGGTTAAATACAAGCAAACAGAAGAACACTGTAAACACTCAGAACAGGTGTTAAAAATTTAAGGCTCTGATTAGTTGGTTATCAGCCTACCTTGACTCTCTCATGAGAAAGCTACACCCTTAGAAGCCCTGTGGCCGATTTCTGATTCCTCTTAAATCAAGCATGAAAGGAAGGAGAAGAAAGAGGGAGGAAGCATACTCAGAGAGAGAGGGAGAGAGACAGAGCGAGCGAGAGAGCATAAAGAACAGTTCTGTCACCGTACTTCTCTAATTTCATTAATTTCTCTAATTTCACCATACTTCTCGAATTTTCTCCCAAGAGATGACAATGAGTTTAATTCCTTGCCAGGATAACTTGTTTCCAGGTTGATTTCTTTTCTTGAATTACTATTTTTTTTTCTTCCTTCCAAAGAATACCTATTTTAAGACATCAAATAAGAGCTGAAGAGAGAGCTCACTGAGCTAGTGTACAGGAGGAAGGCTGGCATTCAATCTTTGGTACAATATGTGCATTGCTGGGAACAACCCCTTAGCACCAATGGGTATGGTCCCAAAACTAAAACAGCTAAATAAAGTATATACCACTCATGCCAAGCTAGATAAAGATGCATAGTAAGTTTGAGCTCTAAGTTGAAAGATTCAAGATGTAGTATTTGACATAGCCAAGGACTGCACTGTAGCACCGTCCTCCCATTGTTCATTGATTTGCTCGAGCGGCCCCAGTGACGTCTCCATTGTGAGACTTCTTGTTACTGTGTTTGGCATATTGACTACGTCACGGGTAGCTTGCCAAGCTTTGCCGTGCAGGCAAGATACTCTCGGTAGCTTGCCGGGCTCTCCTAGCAGGGCAGAGGAATCGAACCTGGGCCAATGCGCTGGGCTGTGTGCAAGGTAAATGCCCTACCAGCTGTGCGATAGCTCTAGCCCAGTCAAGGACAGTGAAACTCAAAATGTGGTTCCGAGTGCCAGGAACATAGCTCAGAGGCACCACACTTATCGTGCACATGTGAAACCCACCTATATGGAGGTTAAGTACTTTGTCCTAAAGCTTAGGGATATTAAGGGGTAACATCAACGACTGATTTCAATTTCCCAAACTTAAATCATCTTTTTAACACTCCACCTCTAAAGAAATAGAATGGGGTTGGGGTTATTAGAGGTTTTGGATGAGTGGAATCTGGTGCTTACATTTTGGCAGGGTCCACTCCTTCTGAAGCAACAACACCCCCAGCCCATCAGAGAGATGAGGCTAGCAGCGGTGAGCACCTGAGAGAGGAGAAATTCCGAGATCAGTCACCCTTGGCTAGTGGTGAAGACATCTTCAGGACTCAATGGTCCTCTTTCCCAGAGGGCTTGGTTTTGATTTATCTGAACCCAATTCAGGGAGACTAGCCTGATATGACTCAGTGTGTGCCCATGTTTCATCTAGTCAGAGCCAGCTAAAATACAGCAACTCTTGACAGCTCTCCTAGAGTTGCCACTCGCTTCAAGTGACTAACCACCAAAGTTTTGCTTGTAAGAAACATTTTTGCAGGGAATCAAAACACTCCTTCCAGTACAACTCCATACCCCTGTCCTACCCAGGATGAGCACTTTAGAGTGTCCCACCCAGGGATTCCAGATACTTACCATGAGACCTCCTCCCCAGAGCCCAGAGCCCAGCATGGCATGCCTGCCAATGAGGCCCCTCAACAGGTAGGTCGCATCCCAGTTAGGAAAGAGCAGCACAGTGTTGGCCCCAGCGGCCAATAGGGATGTTGTCCCAAGGCTCAGGCCCAAGATGCGGGAACAGGTCTGTGCGCACGACATTATGCAGAAAGGGAGAGTAGTGTCCTAGAACCAACGGAAGAAACGTCAAGGAAGCTCTGCTGTTGGAAGGGAAACCACAAACCATAAAGTGGGAGGTTTGTTGAAACCACAACCATAAACTACAGACACCAGGCCAGGGGTGTGGTCAATGTAGAGCACTTACCTTGCCTGTGTGAGGCCCTTGGTTAAATCCCCCACACTGCATCATCATGTCATCATCATATTTTTGTCGTCATCGTCATCATCATCATCATCATCATCACAACTCTGCCTCTTGGGGTTAGGGATATAGCTCAAGGTAAGGAGCTTATGTCTAGCATGTGAAAGGCTCTGAGTTTGATCCCTGATGCCACATGGGACCCCAAGGACGTCCCAAAATCATCAGGAGTGGCCCCAGGTACTAAAAAATAAAGTTCTATTTCAAAAATTCCCTAAATGATGGTGGTGATATATCTTTAAAGTCCACCAAAATCCAGTGAAATCTGGAAAGGATCTGACAAAACATTCAAGTCAAATACAGAATAAAGGGCAGCAGGAGGAGCCAGCAGACAGACCCAGAGAGTTTCTGCACTTGATTAACCTGCTATTCTGATGTAGGTACAGATGAGGCAGATGAGGTGAGGTGATCAAGGGTGATATTTGCCCAAATCCAATACAGTTCTATATGGTTCCTGATATTGATGGTGAAGAATGGCGAAGAGAAAAAAATGATGAAGAGGAAGAAAAATTGGAAGATACTGATGAAGGACATGAAGTGAAGATGGTGAAGATAATGGAAGGAAGGAGAGGAGGAGGATGGAATATGAATGGATTCATATTCATTAGTCGAATGAGATGACTAATGGAATATGAATTGGATTGAATTGAATGGACTCAATTTTTTTTTAAATTTCTTCCAGTCTGGGAGCAAATTGCAATCTTAATGTTTTCCCTTTTGGGGCTCATTTTTGGAATTGTCTTTATTACTATGGTTCTCAAGTGTGTGTGTGTGTGTGTGTGTGTGTGTGTGTGTGTGTGTGTAAAATAACTGAAGCAGAATACAGTAGGACGGCTGTAGGGACATAATAAAATATTTGTCTTGTACATGCATATGACTCCTTGAGCACAATAAGGAGCGATTTCTGAGCACAGAGCCTGGAGTAATCCCTAAGGAAAGCTGGGTATGGCCCAACCCCAACCTCTCCCCCCAAAGGAATCTCAATCCTTTTCTGCTCCAAATTCATTTCTATACCTCCCTGTCTCAACAAGAACTTTATGGAATCAACAACCATCATGTTCTGTGGAAGAAAAGAAAAACCTACTCCCTCAGTTCTGCTGGAAGCTGGAGGGTGCTCAGCCTATGCAGGAGGGCACAGGATTCTAGCTTCTTCCTCTCCTTTCTCTGTAATATTGGGCTCAAGGATTACACAGTGTCAGTACATGAATATGGAGAGTTAGCATTTCACAGCAGGTAGGGAGTTTGCCTTGCACACGACCAACTCGGGTTCGATTCCTTTGTCCCTCTCCAAGAACCCGGCAAGCTACCTAGAATATCCCGCCCGCAGGGCAAAGTCTGGAAAGTTCCCTGTGACGTACTCGATATGCCATAAACAGTAACAAATCTCACAATAGAGACGTTACTGGTGCCCACTCAAGCAAATCAATGAACAACGGGAGGGCAGTGATAGTGACAGCATTTCCCAACATACTTCTGTCTACTTTCTTTTGTTTAAAAAAGAAAAGGGGAATCTTTTTCTGGTTCATAAGCATGGTAACTGGGTATTCACATGTTTGTGTGACATGTGCCTCCCTTAAATTTGTTACGCATTTGGGACATTACCCACCTGACTGCACTGTGAAAAAGAAAAGGGGTCAGGAAAGACATTTTGGGGATTAAACACTTTTTCTTGCATCCCAAAACTCGTATTTCAATCCTGGCACCAAATCTGATTGCTGAGATTTGGTGCGATTGGGCTTAGAGATGTCAGTCACGGGTACAGAGCCAGGAAAAGCCCCTGAGCATAGACAGATACAAACCCAAACCCAAAAATAAATTAAAAAGAAATAAAAAATAATTCAGCAAAAGGTAGACTTGAGGGGCTAGAGCGATAGCACAGTGGGTAGGGCGTTTGCCTTGCACGCAGCCAACCCAGGTTTGATTCCCAGAATCCCATATAGTCCCCAAGCACCGCCAGGAGTAATTCCTGAGTGCATAAGCCAGGAGTAACCCCTGAGCATCACTGGGTGTGACCCAAAAAGAAAAAAAAATAAAGGTGGGCTTGAAATGTTTGGGTGAATTAAGTGGGTTATTTTGACAGCATGATTTCTCCTTTGGCGTGCTTAACTTGGCATTTGAGAGAAAGATACAGCTTTTGAGTTTTTTAAAAATCAACTTATCACTTATTTACAATTTTGTGGAATTTCAGTTTAGTGTTATTCATCTGTATGTGTGTAGGTGTCACCAAAACCACAACAAACTTTCAGAAATCTTTTTTTATTTGTGAGATATAAAGTAACATAGTTCCTACTTGAAGGGAACAACAAGCGACCAAAGTCATCAGAACTAGAAACTTTGATTATAGAACTAAGCTTACATAGCTTACACTGTTGTGTGTGTGTGTGGGGGGGGGGGGCGGAGAGTAGGGAGTAGTGGGGGAATATGGGAGGGGCTCTTGGGACACCAGTGGAGGGAAGTGGGCTCTCTAGTTGTGGGTATAATGTTGGAAGGATACATAATTATCATACCATAAGCATAATTAATGGTATTGTAAATCCTGGTGCCTTGGTTAACAATGGTTAACTTATTTTAAAATGAATATTTAATGGACATCCTTGCAGTTTAATGAGGCTCTTTGAAAATAAAATTCTCGACAGAACATCCTGACCCCCCGCCAGGCTGTCTTCACTGGGGTACCTTGGAGGAGGGCGGGTTGAATTTCCTTCCCTGCCACAAGCAGCACCCTGGCAGCCAAAAACCTCCAGAACCAACTCCAACCATGCTCAAGGCCGCTCTCCACCAGCTTACCTACAGGGGAACCTGCAGAAAAACCCAGGTATGCGGGACCCGTGACTGACATCTCTAAGCCCACTCAGAACGGGACTGGGCATCCTCCCACCTGGTTCCCCACTTCTCCAGTAGCTTGGCAGTCCCTAGAGCCATGTAATCTCACCAGTGACCAAGACCCAGAGACTATGAAATAAGGCTCCTGGAAGAGAGAAACACATAACATCCTCTTACCTCTAGCTCACTGATGTACCAAAAGTAGCACACATTTGTTTGGTTTTAATATGCATGCTTGTAATCTCTTATATAAGGGCATAGATGGCACCAGGGTGAAATACAACAGTCTTCACACATTTTCCTTTTATGGTGGTGGGAGGGTGCATGGTGGTGGAATTGGTGTTGAACATTATTTGTAATGAACAACTTCATAAAAAAAATTTCAAAAAAAAAGAAAAAATTCTCTCTTAATGGTGATCAGAATCCTGCCACTCAATGGGGACAGTCAGTAGAACATATGGTATCTTATTCGAATTGACATTCTCTATTATGTCTTTTTTGTTGTTGTTGCTGTTGCTGTTTTGTTTTTTGGGTCACACCCGGCGATGCCCAGGGGTTACTCCTGGCTTTGCACTCAGGAATCACTCCTGGTGGTGCTTGGGGGACCATATAGGATGCTGGGAATTGAACCTGGGTCGGCTGCGTGCAAGGCAAATGCCTTACCCGCTGTGCTATTGCTCCAGCCCCAGTATTATGTTTTATTCCTGCTTATTTTTAAATTTTCTTTTTGCTTCACTGGAACAGAAACACCCTTAGTTTTAAACATTAAAAGTGACCTGAGTTCAATTTTTCCGTCCCTCTTGGAGAGCCCGGCAAGCTACTGAGAGTATCCCGCCCGCACAGCAGAACCTGGCAAGCTCCCGTGGCATATTCGATGTGCCAAAAACTGTAACAAGTCTCACAATGGAGACCTTACTGGTGCCTGCTCAAGCAAATTGATGAACAACGTGAGGACAGTGCTACAGTGGACAAGTGCTTAATTTCCTAGCTTTGAAATTAGACATTTAAATGTCATTTCTGGATAAATTCTAAAATGTCTGCATTTATAACCAATTCTTTTTTCTTGTTGCTATTATTTGGCCTGGACTGGAGATGGAGCCCAGGCCCTCACCCAAGGCAACTGCTCAGCCACTGAGGCACTTCCCGGGCCCCATTTATCCTCTTCTGAATTTCAGTGACTTGTTTTTAAATTATGAATGGCATGGGACTAGTAATGTTCTACAGGACTAGTAATGTGACTTGCTTTTTAAATGATGAATTAGTATAGAACTAGTAATGTCCTATTAGTAAGAGGACTAATAATTTGGGAAGACTCTGATCAGTGTGGGTCTAAAAATTAAATCAGTGCCATGACTACTGATTCCCAACAAGAGGCACCAATAAGATACATATTACAATTAGATACTGTCTGTCTCCCCTAAGGGCTTTGATGCTGCCTTTCCACATTGCTGTGCACATAATTAGGAATAGTCTTTATTTTCTCCCTCTGTCTCCCTCCCTCCCTCCCTTCCCCCTTTCTCTCTCTCTCTCCCCCCCCCCCTCTCTCTCTCTCACACACACACACACACACACACACACGCATGCATACATACATAGTGAGGTATTTGAGCTGATGGAGTTAAGTACAATGCACATATTTTTACTTGAAAGTTGTGTGGAATAATTAAACAGCTTCCTTGGGAATAGAACCAGTTGACCTAAGTTGTTATCAATGATACTATTGAAGTCCCAGCTATGCCCCTCTAATCCTACCATTTTCCTGGACTCCTTGTCAGGAACTACTAGCCTAAATGTTTTCTTTGTTTGTTGTTTTTTAATCATAGCCTTTTAAAAATGGCTTACAACTTGTAAACTCCATATATGACAAAAAAAACATTGATGGAACTGTGTGTTTTCTCTTTGCTCAGACTGCAGTTTATAGCAGAGATCTGTGTCAGAGCCCATGTGAAGCAGGCAATTGGTGGGGTCCCACTCCTGTCCCTTCTCCCTATTAGTCCCAGAGCTTAGGGGACTTTGCCTTCCCTCATTCAGGTTAGAGCTCAAGGCTCTCCTTCCTACAACGATTCCCAATATATTTCCATGTGAGGCACTGCCTTCCCACAGAATGTTTTCTTCCTATGCCGTTTCTCATAGAGAAAGAGACAATGCCCCCGATGACAGAAGTTTAAGTCTCTGTGCCCCAGGGGGGAGTGAGCATAAAATAACCAAGAACAGTGGCCTTTAATCCCGGTATGCAGGCCTGGAGGAGGAGGTGGGAATCAGGAATCAGCAGAGATGATGGTTCCTTCTCTCCTCCTCCCCCAGCCTGCCCAGCCCCAGAGGCCCCTTTCTGCTGGCTCTGGCTATATCCTGCTCAGCTCTCAGGAGGAGGATCTGGAGGAAAACAATTCTTTCCACATTCTATCCACAGTTGTAAGGCAAGTGCTTGTATGGGTTGCCTTCCTCCATAGACCAAGTCAGTGAGTACAGCATGTGTCTACGTGGTGGAGCGAATTAGTCGTCTGACTGGGGAAACCAGTGATAATTCTAAGCCACGCCCTCCCAGAGGACTGCCACTTTGTCAGGGCCCCAAGTGAGGACACAGTGTAGCGAGCCTTTCAGGAATGTGCTCTGGTCGGGTGTTTCTCAACCTTTGTCCCATCTGAGCCCTTTTCCAACCTTGCTCCCTTCCTTTTCACCTGTGATCTCCTTGAAATATCCTGGGAGCCTCAAGGGGGTCACATCGACTCTCAGTTGAGAAATAGTGCTCTAGACCAGTATCTTTCAACCTTTTTATCCCTTTAGGCTATGAAAATAGGAGAAATATTTCATGAATCTCGAAGGCAGATTTCTTTTAAAATTAGGATTTATCGCCCACTGGAGCGATAGCACAGCGGGTAGGGCGTTCGCCTTACAAGCAGCCAACATGGCCGACCCGAGTTCGATTCCTCCGCCCCTCTCGGAGAGCCCGGCAAGCTACCGAGAGTATTCGATATGCCAAACACAGTAACAATAAAGTCTCCAATGGAGACGTTACTGGGCCCGCTCGAGCAAATCGACGATCGACGGGAGGGCCTTTTAGGATTTATAAGAGGAGCTTGTGTATTCTTTTTAAAAATCTAGTATTACAAAATAAAATCATACACTTATATGAAAACTGATGGGACCAGGGAAATAGCCAACCCCAGGACCACCTGGTCCCCTAAGCACCACAGGGAGCAACCTCTGAGCACTGTAGGAGGAGTCACCCCTAAGTTCTTTGGGTATTGACCCTTAGAAAAAAAATAACCAGAAATATCACATTAAGAAAAATTGATAATAACAGAACACCTTAACAATTATTTTTGAAGGGATGGTCCACCTGATGGTAGGTCTTACAAGGCCTGGCTCTGCACTCAGGGATCACTCCTAGTGGTATTTGGGGACCATATATGGCGCTCAGGATCAAACTTGGGTTCACTTCATGCAAGGTAAGCACCTTAATCCTGTTACTATCTCCCTGGCCCCAACATCTTGAATTTTTGAGAAAGCAATATTAAAATATGCACCAAATGATGTGCATATACATATCTGTTTATACTTTTCATCTGGGCAGTTGTCTTGCTGCACTAATGTCTGAATCCAGAAAACAGCTTTGTCACAGTCTGGCAGGAAACTAAAGTACACAGTCCTTATTCTATGGACTGGTGATTGGGAACTGCTGCCTGTACCAAGGGCCTGAGAAACCTTTGTTCAGAAATGCCTTTGAGTTATTCATAAATGCTCCACCTTTGAGTTATTCTATTTCTGTTATAGCTAACCGAGACATGA